AAAAGTCCACAAGTCCACAAGTCCAAAAGTCCACAAGTCCACAAAAGTCCACAAGAGTCCACAAAAGTCCACAAAAGTCCACAAGTGTCCACAAAAGTCCACAAAAGTCCACAAGAGTCCACAAAGTCCACAAGAGTCCACAAAGTCCACAGAGTCCACAAAAGTCCACAAGTGTCCACAAGTGTCCACAAGAGTCCACAAGAGTCCACAAGTCCACAACAGTCCAAAAGTCCACAAAAGTCCACAAAGTCCACAAGTCCACAAAGTCCACAAGTCCCAAGAGTCCAAAAACAAAAGTCCACAAGAGTCCACAGTCCACAAACACAAAAGTCCACAAGAGTCCACAAAGTCCACAAAAGTCCACAAAGTCCACAAGTCCACAAAAGTCCACAAAAGTCCACAAAGTCCACAAGTGTCCACANTCAGCGTTTCTCTGGACTCAGAGACTCTGTACAGATCATGTTTCATTCTCTCCAGACTCTGTGGTGTAAACTACTGTTGTACCAACAGCTGCCCTGGGGCAGACTGACGGAGCTGAGGCTGCCAATCTGCACCATCAGCTCCTCTGACACCATCATCACTCACACTCCACTTTTATACAAGACAATGTGGGTGAAGTGTCTTGCCTAAGGACACAACAACAGTTTTGTGACTGGTGCCTGATTTTTCCTGGTCTCTCATCAGAAGGACCAGACCTCTGACCAGACCTGGTCCACGAGGACACGGACCACAGGATCTGACCTTCAAACTTCAAACATCAAACTTCACACTTCAAATTCACCAACTTCTCCCAGATGAACACAACGTCCATGAACATTCATCACGTCATTTTCCTGTGTCAGACGTCCACAAGTGTCCACAAGTGTCCACAAAAGTCCACAAGTGTCCACAAGAGTCCACAAGAGTCCACAAGAGTCCACAAAAGTCCACAAGAGTCCACAAAAGTCCACAAGAGTCCACAAAAGTCCACAAGAGTCCACAAGTCCACAAAAGTCCACAAGAGTCCACAAAAGTCCACAAAAGTCCACAAAAGTCCACAAAAGTCCACAAGAGTCCACAAGAGTCCACAAAAGTCCACAAAAGTCCACAAGAGTCCACAAGAGTCCACAAGAGTCCACAAGAGTCCACAAGAGTCCACAAGAGTCCACAAGAGTCCACAAAAGTCCACAAGTGTCCACAAAAGTCCACAAGAGTCCACAAGTCCACAAAGTCCACAAAAGTCCACAAAAGTCCACAAGAGTCCACAAGAGTCCACAAAAGTCCACAAAGTGTCCACAAGAGTCCACAAGAGTCCACAAAAGTCCACAAAGAGTCCACAAGAGTCCACAAGAGTCCACAAAGTCCACAAGAGTCCACAAGTCCACAAAGTCCACAAGTGTCCACAAAAGTCCACAAAAGTCCACAAGTGTCCACAAATGTCCACAAAAGTCCACAAGAGTCCACAAAAGTCCACAAGTGTCCACAAGTCCACAAAAGTCCACAAGTGTCCACAAGAGTCCACAAGTCCACAAGTGTCCACAAAAGTCCACAAGTGTCCACAAGTGTCCACAAAGTCCACGGTTCAAATGTTTCACTGCAGACTGACGAACAAATACTGAACGTCATTTACACGACATTTAATCCAGAGACAAGAACAATAAACCAGGTCACACATCTGCAAAACTCTCACCTGTCTCACCTGTCTCACCTGTCTCCCCTGTCTCACCTGTCTCCCCTGTCTCCCTGTCTCCCTGTTCCCCTGTCTCCCCTGTCTCCCCTGTCTCCCCTGTCTCACCTGTCTCCTGTCCCCTGTCTCACCTGTCTCCCCTGTCTCACCTGTCTCACCTGTCTCCCTGTCTCGCCCCGTCTCCCCCGTCTCACCTGTCTCCCCTGTCTCACCTGTCTCAACCCGTCTGTCTCCCCGTCTCACCTGTCCCCCCCGTCTCACCTGTCTCACCCGTCTCCCCCGTCTCACCTGTCTCACCCGTCTCACCCTGTCTCCCTGTCTCACCTGTCTCCCTCACCCGTCTCCCCTGTCTCCCCTGTCTCACCTGTCTCACCCGTCTCCCCTGTCTCACCTGTCTCACCCGTCTCACCCGTCTCCCCTGTCTCCCCTGTCTCACCTGTCTCCCCTGTCTCACCTGTCTCACCCGTCTCCCCTGTCTCACGTCTCCCGTCTCACCTGTCTCACCTGTCTCACCTGTCTCACCTGTCTCACCTGTCTCACCTGTCTCACCCGTCTCACCTGTCTCACCTGTCTCAGTTCAGGTTAAACTACAGAGATTCTACAGTTTTGAACGATACAGACACAACAATAACAGCAGCAGAAATAGTAGTAGTAAAAGTAGTAGTAATAGTAGTAGTAGTAGTAGTAGTAGTAGTAGTAGTAGTAGTAGTAGTAGTAGTAGCAGTAGTAGTAATAGTAATAGTAGTAAAAGTACTCACAGCAGAGGGCGATGATGTGGCTGCTGTCTTCGTGGACAAACTTCTTGGTCACAGATTCCTCCATGATCTGCTTCACCTGAAACAACAACAACAACATGAGTCCAGACCAGGATCATAACCAGATCTGAGAGTCCAGACCAGGATCATAACCAGATCTGAGAGTCCAGACCAGGATCATAACCAGATCTGAGAGTCCAGACCAGGATCACAACCAGATCTGAGAGTCCAGACCAGGATCATAACCAGATCTGAGAGTCCAGACCAGGATCATAACCAGATCTGAGAGTCCAGACCACAACCAGATCTGAGAGTCAGACATCAGACAGACCAGGATCACAACCAGATCTGAGAGTCCAGACCAGGATCACAACCAGATCTGAGAGTCCAGACCAGGATCACAACCAGATCTGAGAGTCCAACCAGATCAACCAGAATCTGAGAGTCCAGACCAGGATCACAACCAGATCTGAGAGTCCAGACCAGGATCACAACCAGATCTGAGAGTCCAGACCAGGATCATAACCAGATCTGAGAGTCCAGACCAGGATCACAACCAGATCTGAGAGTCCAGACCAGGATCACAACCAGATCTGAGAGTCCAGACCAGGATCATAACCAGATCTGAGAGTCCAGACCAGGATCATAACCAGATCTGAGAGTCCAGACCAGGATCATAACCAGATCTGAGAGTCCAGACCAGGATCACAACCAGATCTGAGAGAGATCCAGATAACCAGATCTGAGAGAGACCAGGATCACAACCAGATCTGAGAGTCCAGACCAGGATCATAACCAGATCTGAGAGTCCAGACCAGGATCATAACCAGATTTGAAGAAAAGCATTTGATGGAACCTCCACTAGAAAAGTTACACAGTGCAGCTTTAACAATCAACAGTTTTTCCTGTTGTGACGTCACTAGAGCAAAAACTGGACCAGGAAGTTTGTTTGTGACTGAGATGTAGTCCTGGTTTAGTCCTGGTTTAGTCCTGGTTTAGTTTTGGTTTAGTCCTGGTTTAGTCCTGGTTTAGTTCTGGTTTAGTCCTGGTTTAGTTTTGGTTTAGTCCTGGTTTAGTTTGGTTTAGTCCTGGTTTAGTCCTGGTTTAGATCTGGTTTAGTACTGGTTTTAGTCCTGGTTTAGACCTGGTTTAGTCCTGGTTTAGTCCTGGTTTAGTTTTGGTTTAGTCTTGGTTTAGTCCTGGTTTAGTCCTGGTTTAGTTCTGGTTTACTTCTGGTTTAGTCCTGGTTTAGTCTTGGTTTAGTCTTGGTTTAGTCTTGGTTTAGTCTTGGTTTAGTCCTGGTTTAGTCCTGGTTTAGTTTTGGTTTAGTCCTGGTTTAGTCCTGGTTTAGTCCTGGTTTAGTCCTGGTTTAGATCTGGTTTAGTCCTGGTTTAGTCCTGGTTTTAGTCTGGTTTACTCTTGTTTAGTCTTGGTTTAGTCCTGGTTTAGTCCTGGTTTAGTTTTGGTTTAGATCTGGTTTAGATCTGGTTTAGTCCTGGTTTAGTCTGGTTTAGTCTTGGTTTAGTCTTGGTTTAGTCTTGGTTTAGTCTTGGTTTAGTCCTGGTTCTGGTTTAGTCCTGGTTTAGTCCTGGTTTTAGATCTGGTTTAGTCTGTCTGGTTTAGTCTGGTTTAGTCTGGTGGTTTAGTCTTGGTTTAGTCTTGGTTAGTCTTAGTTTTAGTCTGGTTCAGTCTGGTTCAGTCCTGGTTTAGATCTGGTTTAGTCCTGGTTTAGATTGGTTTAGTCTTGGTTTAGTCTTGGTTTAGTCCTGGTTTAGTCCTGGTTTAGATCTGGTTTAGTCTTGGTTTAGTCTTGGTTTAGTCCTGGTTTAGTCCTGGTTTAGTCCTGGTTTAGTCCTGTTTAGTCCTGGTTTAGATCTGGTTTAGTCCTGGTTTAGTTTTGGTTTAGTCCTGGTTCAGTCTGGTTCAGTTTTGGTTTAGTCCTGGTTTAGTTATGGTTTAGTCTGGTTTAGTCCTGGTTTAGTCCTGGTGTTTGTTTGTTTTTTATAGTTTGTATTGATTATTTGTTTATTTTTAGAGAATAAAAGTGCAGTTTAAAGTTCAGGTGCCTCCTCGTGTGTCAGATGCCCTCCCGTCTCCTCCTCCTCTTCCCTCTCTCCTCTCCTCCCTCTCTCTCTCTTTGCTCTCAGTCTCTCCTCTCTCTCTTCTTTCCTTCCACTTTCCTTCTCTCTCTCTCTCTCCTCCCTCCTCTCTCTCTCTCTGCTCTCTTCCAATTCTTCCTCTTCTCTCTCTCTCTCCTCTCCTCCTTCCTTCCTGTTCTCTTTCTCCCTCTCTTCTCTCCTCTCTCTCTCTCTCTCTCTCCTCTCTCTCTCTCTCTCTCTGCTCTCTTCCAATTCTTCCTCTTCTCTCTCTCTCCCCTCTCCTCCTTCCTTCCTGTTCTTTCTCCCTCTCTTCTCTCCTTCCCTCTCTCTTCTCTCTCCTCTTCTCTTCTCTCTGATATAATCTGTGGTGGATGATTTAACGTCAGCCGGAGCTGCTGCTGCCATGACGACGGAGGAGAAAGTCTTAAAGGGACAGAACCTCAATTTAAACACACACAGGGTTAGACCTGGTTTAGATCTGGTTTAGATCTGGTTTAGACCTGGTTTAGACCTGGTTTAGACCTGGTTTAGATCTGGTTTAGACCTGGTTTAGACCTGGTTTAGACCTGGTTCAGTCCAAGTTTAGTCCTGGTTTAGTCCTGGTTTAGACCTGGTTTAGACCTGGTTTAGTCCTGGTTTTAGACCTGGTTTAGTCCTGGTTTAGACCTGTTTTAGACCTGGTTTAGACCTGGTTTAGACCTGTTTTAGACCTGATTTAGTCCTGGTTTAGTCCTGGTTTAGACCTGGTTTAGACCTGATTTAGACCTGGTTTAGACATGGTTTAGACCTGATTTAGACCTGGTTTAGTCCTGGTTTAGACCTGGTTTAGACCTGGTATAGTCCTGGTATAGTCCTGGTATAGTCCAGGTTTAGTCCAGGTTCAGTCCTGGTTTAGTCCTGGTTCAGTCCTGGTTCAGTCCTGGTTTAGTCCTGGTTGTTTTAGATTTGTCTTAGATGTTGCTTAGTCCTGGTTTAGACTTGGTTAAGTTCTTTCTTAGTACTTGTTTACGCCTGGTTTAGTCCTGGTTTAGTCCTGGTTCTGTCCTATCTTAGAACTGATTTTTCTCTGTTTGGTCCTGGTTCAGTCCTGGTTTAGTCCTGGTTGTTTTAGATTTGTCTTAGATGTTGCTTAGTCCTGGTTTAGACTTGGTTAAGTTCTTTCTTAGTACTTGTTTACGCCTGGTTTAGTCCTGGTTTAGTCCTGGTTCTGTCCTATCTTAGAACTGATTTTTCTCTGTTTGGTCCTGGTTTAGACCTGGTTTAGTCCTGGTTCAGTCCTGGTTCAGTCCTGGTTTAGTCCTGGTTGTTTTAGATTTGTCTTAGATGTTGCTTAGTCCTGGTTTAGACTTGGTTAAGTTCTTTCTTAGTACTTGTTTACGCCTGATTTAGTCCTGGTTTAGACCTGGTTCTGTCCTGGTTTAATCCTAACTGTGTTGGATTTGAGTTAGATGTTGTTTAATCCTGGTTTATATTTAGTTTAGTTCTGCCTTGGTCCTCGTTTATGCCTGATATAGACCTGATTTAGTCCTGGTTTAGTCCTGCTTTAGTACTGGTTTAATCATGGTTTAGACCTGGTTTAGTCCTGGTTTAGTCCTGGTTAAATGACGGTTCGGTCTTTGTTTAGTCCTGGTTTAGTCCCATTTTAGTCAATAATAAAAACACATAATTAAATTGCGTTAAACTCTTCCTGCCTTGTGCTGTGGCATCATCTGTTGCCATGACAATTAAGCATTTAAGCGTTTTGAATAGAGAAAAGTCCTCAAAAAGTCCTCTGAAACCTATTTTTTCTTTCTGTTTTTCCTTGACCGTCTTTTCTTTCTCGTTTAAACCGCACGAGCTCAGAGACGACAGGAAACCAGGAGGGACAAAAACCACACAGGGATCGATGCTCCTGTTCTGGTCGGTTTGGTTTGAGATTTGAAACCAGCGTCAAACCAGGACAGAGCGGAGTTTAGACCGAGAGCAACGAGACAACAACAACAAGAGAACATTTGTAGTTTTAATCCTGGTTTAGACCTGGATTAGACCTGGATTAGACCTGGTTTGGTCCTTGTTTAGTCCTGGTTTGGTCCTGGTTTAGTTCTGGTTTGGTCCTGGTTTAGACCTGGTTTAGTCCTGGTTTAGTCCTGGTTCAGACCAGGTTTAGTCCTGGTTCAGACTCTCTAATGAAGCTCCTGCACATCTCAGAGGGCTTGTGGCTGTGTTCAGTTTTGTGTCATGTTTTTGTTCATGGAGGATTGTCGTTAGTCGTGTGAGAGAATGTGGGGCCTAACAGGCTTGTGGGCGGAGTCACCTCGTGGAACCACAGTCTTAACTGGACGTGTGAGCGGCTCGGTTCTGTGTTTGTCACTGGGAAAGACGATCAAACTGGATCAGATCTACAGTGAAAACATCTGAACACGTTTGTATTTCCACGACAAACACCAGGATCAATAAGACTCATGTCTTACCCAGAAACACTCAGAGCATCAAAACATAAGATGGATCTATTTTTCTGAAATTCACACGTGCAGGACGTGCTGGCAGGGCCGCACCTGTCACTAGTTCTGTTCATTGTTTTTATGGACAGAGTTTCTAGGTGCAGTCAGGATCAACTCTGATGTTTGCAGATGATGTTGTCCTGTTGTCTTCATCAGACCAGGACCTGCAGCTCTGGGGCGGTTTGACCCGAGTGTGAAGCGTCTGGGGTGAAGATCAGCTCCTCCGAGTCCAAGGTCGAGGTTCTCGACTGGAAAAAGGCGTCTTGTCGTCTCCAGGTCGTGGAGAGTCTCTGCCTCAAGTGGACGAGTTCAAGTGTCGGGGTTTTGTTCTCGAGTGAGGGGAGGATGGAGCGTGAGATTGACAGGTGAACAGGTGCAGCGTGAGATTGACAGGTGGACAGGTGCAGCGTGAGATTGACAGGTGGACAGGTGCAGCGTGAGATTGACAGGTGAACAGGTGCAGCGTGAGTGACAGGTGGACAGGTGCAGCGTGAGTTGAC